CAGGTAAAGTTTCGAAGTTTCTTTTCGAAACTTAATGAAAAAACGTTTATTAACGTTTTTTTTTTATTTTTTTGTAGAAAATCGGCTCCGAAGCTTGGATACTGAATTCCAGGTAAGTTTCAAAATAAAATTTTCGAAACTTTATTTAAAAAAACCGTTAACTTTTTTTCCTTTTTGTAGGGAAATCGGCAAAATCTCCTTAGTCAGGTTTCAGAAGGTAAAACTGAAAGATTTTATTAATTTATCTAACGAATGTTACTAACATTCATTCTTATTTTTTGTAGGGCCGGGAAGCCGATAGACAAATTTCGGTCTTCCATTCTGAAGGTATGAACCTTCAAAATTTTTTATTTTATTTACTCTATTTTAATGAACGCTAACTAACGTTCGTTCTTAATTTTGTAGGTCCAGAACACCAAAGTGCGGGGCTCCGATTGGCAAAATCTTCATATTTTTGAAACTTAATAAAAACGTTAATTTTAACGTTTTTTATATTTTTTTATAGGAAATTGGCTCTGAATTGGCCAATCCTATAGGTAAAGTTTCATATTTTCGAAACTTAATAAAAAAACGTGTATTTTAACGTTTTTTAATTTGTTATTATTTTTTTTTTGCAGGGAAATCAGCTCTAATTTGGATACCGGAATCCCGCAGGTTAAGTTTCGATTTTCAAAACTTTTTGACGAAACTTAATAAAAAATGTTTAATTTAACGTTTTTTTTTATTATATTTTATTAGGGAAATCAGCTCAGATTTGCCATCCTACAGGTAATGTTTTGATTTTCAAAACTTAAAACTTGAAAAAAAATGTTAACGTTTTTTCTTTTTTTTTGTAGGAAAATCGTCTCCAATTTGTAGAAACAAATGGGAATTAAGGAATTTAACGTATACCAGATTTGTTAGAAAGTTGGGATGATTTTTGGTGAAATTGTTTTATATGTATATGTAATATTTACTGTAATTTGTGATACAATTCAGAATAAATTTTACTATAATTCAGAATAAATTTTACTACAAATCAGAATAAATTTTTACTACAAATCAGAATAAATTTTACTACAAATCAGAATAAATTTACTACAATTCAGAATAAATTTACTACAAATCAGAATAAATTTTACTATAATTCGGAATAAATTTTTATTGCAATTCAGAATAAATTTTACTACAATTCGGAATAAATTCTACTATAATTTGGAATAAATTTTATGACAATTCGGAATAAATATTACTGCAATTCAGAAAATTTTGCCACAAATTTACCATAATTCAGAATAAATTCGGTAAATTTATGAATATATTTTTTTAAACAATTCGGATTAAAAATACTAAGCAATTCAGATACAATTTGGATATTCTGATCGGCATCAATCGGCCTGCCAATCAGAACTTTTCCAAAATTAATAAATCGGCCATCTTTATCACCAAATTCAGCCTAAAATCGGACATCTGATTTCTAGCCGATTTGGACTATTTCGACTAGTAACCACAAATCTACATATAGTCACCAAGGCCAAGCAGTCATCCTGTCAGTTCTCAAGCCTTCTTAGTAATGATCTAATTTCTGCTAATAATGTTAGTTTGCCAGATTCACTACCATCCAACCCTTTTTTCATATTCTTTAAAGTTGAAAATATGTGTTTCTTTCCAATAGGATTGCTCATCTTAATCTTATTATCTGTAGTATTTGTTACAACCTTGTGTGCCAAGTCTTGATTCTGTTTTTGATTTTGGCCACTTCTTAGTGATTGATTACAACCTTTAGATAGTTGAAGCGAGAAATACCTAGTCCAAACACCTTTATATTCTTGCAAATTCAACTTGGTATTCATGATTTTATCCAAATCAGCCCAATTTTCATAATACGTGATAAGCTTGCAGGTACGTTTCTCTTGAACCACCTTAAAAGCTTTGCATCCCAAATGGAATATAGGTGATTGAGAAGGATCCAATGAATAAAGCATCAAAGTGGTGACAGTTCCAGGTAAATCTTTCACCACAGCCTGAAATCGTTCTCTTTCCTTTCTTTGTTGAAGATTTCAGTTAGCAGGATACCATCGGACAAGAAGTCCTTCTAAAGGAGCGGTCCAGACTTCTTGATTTTATAGACTTATAGTCCACTCATTGAAGTCGATAAAGACAGTGATCGTTAAATATTTCTTCTGACGTTTAGTCTCGAAAGCAATCATGTGATCCCATTTCTCAAGATGCTGGAGAAGTTCAAGTTGAGGGGATATTATATAAAGTAATTTTCTGAACATTGTCCTTAAGTACTGGATCATATCCAGTTATTACTGATTGTATTTCTTTTGGAGGAGCGTGTTGTTGTTTATTCTTAGCTAGTTGAGTCTTGCTATTGGACGCTGAATGCTTGGTCATGTTAACTTTTTGCCTATTACCAGGTGGAGTCAGAAAGGTATCACAGTTACTGCTTGTATCTAGGTTCCTGGAGGCCATTTCTGCAAATGTAACAGTATGTCCTTTTCCTTTTGGGATATAGGGAGTGGCTTTGGCGTTCAGTTTTGTGGAACTCTGTTTAGACTTTAGAGTTCTTTATTGAAGATTCTGCAATCACATTCTCTGATTGGTGTTCATTATTTTGATTGTCACAGTCTACATCCATTAATTGATGTTTGACATTATCAAAAATTTCTGTTTCCATCGGCTGTACTTCTGTTGATACTATATATGAAGTCAAAATTAAAGCCCAAAAGTATAAATATTTTGACTTGGAAAGGTCAAAAGTCGAAATTAAAGTCGAAATGGTCAAAATTACATCCTAGTTATATGATTTTTATAATTATAATTTAATATAAAATTCTAAATGTGAATAACTCCGCCAATATTGGTGCTACAGATATAAAATACATATCATTGGAATCCTCTCGATGAGCTGAATCCAACCGTGTAAAGATCATAAAAATCGAATCACTGGATGCGGAGTTCGTTAACTTTGAATTTTAATATTATTGTTTACTATAAAATCATATGACTATGACGTAATTTCGACCATTTTGATTTTTGGAGGGGTTCAAGTCGAAATCATTTTGACCATTTCAACCATTTCGGAGGTCAAAATTAACCAATTTCGGTTTCATGTATAGTTGATACTGGCGTATCATTGGCTAATTCTGTTGACTCAAACTGCACTACTTGTTCTTGAATTGTTTTCTCAATGTAATTCTTCAAAGAGACTTCATACTCGTTAGCAACAGCGGCGAGAATAAACAACAAGTAGGTGAGTTGAACTTCATTCTTAACACCAAGTTCCTTAAGTACGGATCTATAGTCTTTAACAAAGTTTTCAGTATTGTTGTATTCTTTAGTTGGTAAAATACGCTCTACATATCCTTGAATAGCGGTTGGTTTGGTAAGTTCTACTTTCTGAAGGGCAATACATAGGATGTCAAAAAAATTCTTTTTATTAATATTACGTTTGGTAACCTGTTCAAGGTCAATAATATTAGTGTATTTGGCCAGGTGTGCCATATTTTAGGCTATAAAATGAAAAAAAACAAAATTATTTTTCTGCTAAAAAATGGACATGTGGATCATTGGAAAGAGTTCTTTGATGTATTATTTATTATAATATAATAAACATTATATTTTTTATTTTTATTTTTTTTATATTTATATTACAATTAAATTTTTTTTTTATAATAATAATTTTTATATAATACTTATTTTATTTTTTTCAAAAATTTGAAAAAATTTTCAATTCTAAACTTTATAATGATAAATTTTTTTTTCTTGAAGTAAATTAGTTTTTATTTTATTTCTTCTAAAAATTCTATCATAATATATTTTATTATTATTATTACTATTGATTATTAATTTCTTCTTTTTTTTCATATAATTTTTCTATAATTATAATCATATTATCAATATTTTAGTCTATTAATTTTATTGTAAACACTTTTTAAATTTTTTTTTTTTTTTTTTTTTAATATACTTTTACTATAATTTTTAAAAAATATACATTATCACTATAAATAATTTGTTATATATTTTCTTTTTTTATAATATTATATTTTTTTTATTGCTATTTCTATTATACATAATGTATTTTTTTCTTCAAATATATAATATACTGTTTTTTAAATAATCTTCTTTTTTATATATATTATATTTTTCTGATTTTTTTTCCTATAAATTACAAATAGTTTTTTATTTTTTATTTCAAAAAAATTTTTATATAAAAATTTTTATCCTACTTTTAATGGTCTTTTATATTTTCTACAAATCCATTTACAAATCACTTTTTCTTTTTATTAATACTTGTTAAAATAAACCAATTATTATTATTTTTTTTTTATGATTAGCTAATTAAATGAATATACTAAATAAAAATTAATAAAGGAATTAATTAATAATAATAGTAAAAAAATTAATAAAAGTAACTGAAATACTATAATTAATAATTTAAGAAATATCAAAGAATTAATAATAGATATTGGAAATTTGGAGTAAAAAAACAAATAGATTTTTTGAATAATAATTTATATTATGTATATATTAAATAATAGTATAGGAAATATTATAATAGTATATTAAAAGAGAATAATAAAAGATAGTAATTTCTGAATTGAATATACATAAGTAATACTGTAAATATAATGAAGTTAGGAAAAGAAATAGACAAAATTAATTATACAATTAAATTAAATATTTAATAAAAATGGAAATAATAAATGAATTATTAATATAATTTTAATAGAATATATTTTGATAAAAGGAATTAAAAGGATAGGAATAATTTAGATATTAAAACAAGTGATTTACAGATTTAGTAATAGATATTAGAATAAGAAAAAATACAATAATAAAGTTATATATAAGTATTAAAACTTTAAGTGTTAATATATATTTAAAAAGAATATTACAAAAAAAAATTGAAGCTATATTAAGAAATAAATACATTAAATTATAATAGCTGGATATAATATAATAAAAGAAGAAAAAAAAGAAAAAAAGAAGTAGGATTAAGAATTAAGAAATAAAGAAACTAATAAAATAACTAATAAATAAGAAGAAAAAATGAAGAAAAAAAAGTAAAAAAATAATAAGAAATTTAAAGATAATAAGATAATAAGAGAATACAAAAATATTAAAAGAACAGGTATAAAAAAAAGAGAAAAAGAAGAATAATAAGAAAAAGAAATAAAAAAGCTGAAAAGATTTAAAGAAAAGGAGCTAAAAAAATCTAAACAAGAAAAACTAGTTAGAAATGCTAAAACTGTACAATCTAGTAATTTAAAAAATTACCATTTAATACATTGATTTTTCATTTGATTTGAATAAATTTTAATCCATTTTAATTTTCTCTTTACTTTTATTCTTGAAGACAAATTTTTTTATTATATTATATATTGATAGATATTTCAAAAAAAAAAAAATTCTTTTTATTGACTTAATATTTATAAAATGGCTGAAATACATTTATTTATGGATTGATGGATTGCAACTCTAGCTGAAAGAAATGCTTTAGAAAATATTAGAAGACAGTAATGGAGTACCAGTGGTAATATTTGGAAATCAAGAAATTTAGAGAAATACTGTATGTAATAAATGTAATAGAAATTTTAAAAATTGTTTAAATAAAAGAAAGGAAAAAGAAGTAGAAAATGAAGAGGTTAAAAAAGAGGGTGAAAAAATTATTTGTAAAGGATGTGGAGGAGAAGAAAGAGAATATTATATTAATTGTTATTATAAAACTTGGGGGAGTTTATACAATGGGAAGTAAGAAAGAATTATGTTAAGGTAGAATTATATAAAAATGAAAATTTGAAAAATTGATAGGGAAATTTTAAAGATTAAAGAATTAATTGGAATAAAAGATAAAGAAACAAAGTTGTTTATTAAAACAAAAGAAATGGATGAGAATCTGTGAAAAATGTTTATTTATGAGAAAAAAAGAGTTTAGAATGTTTAGAATGTAAAATTGAAATAAAAATTGAAGAAATCAATGGAGAAAAAAATAATAATGGAAAAAAGAAGAATGATAATGAAGACATATTACAACAATGTAGATGTGAAATAAGCCCAGGAAGAAAAGAAGTCATTTGCTTTAAACACCAACATAACATTGTTAAAGAAAATGGGCATGTGAACGAGAAATTTAAAATGATCAATATTATCAAGAAAATGTTAAAATATTTGAAGAACGAAAAAAGGTAGATAATATTAATAATTTTCCAAGAATCGAAAAACAATACGAAGATGAATCAAAAGATGAAATTGATGAATATGTTAGAAAATCACATTTAGAATTAAAATATAAGAATTGGAGAAAAGAACTTTATCCGACAGTAGAAGAATTCAAAAAAGGATTTGTTTATAATTTTTCAAAAAAATAAGGAAAATAAAAATTTGTTTACAGTAATTACGGGAAAATTTATTGTAATGAAGTTTGTGAATATAATAATTATAGTAATTGTGCAAAAAATAAAAGATATTTTGTTTAAAAGAAAAAGAAGAGCAGAATGGATATAGTAGTGATGGAGGGTATTTAACTCGAGAAAATAATGAAGGAAATAACGGGTGGTAAAATGGTTATTATATAGTTCAGTAGAAAATTTTAGGTGGAAAATTTAAAGAATTATTTAGTTTAGAAAAATATAAATAGGATAGGTTTTGGTTTGTTGAGGGAGTTAGCTAAATATTTTTAATTTAGTTAATGAACAATATTTTGAATTTTGATATTTTGGATATTTTTTTTTAGGATTAAAAAAATATTTTAGATTTTTAATGCCTAAAAGGTTTAGTACGAAATCGATATTATAATCCCGACATTTCATAAGTCCGACACTTCATAAGCTCGAAATTCAAAATACCGAAATGAAAAATCTTAAAAGAAATCAGTATTATGGGATGTTGGGATTATGACATTTTGGGGTCAGGATTTTGAGTGGACGGATACATCATATATGGTGTTGTAAAATCCTATTGTTACACGATTTACACAATAAGTTTCTTAATGCCGGCCAAGTACAGTATTTAATGCGCCCCTTTCGTACTTAAAATAATTAAGTTTGTTTTATTACTAATTTTTTAATATTATTAATTAATTTGCTATACAAATTAATTTGATTCATTCATTCTTAAATAATTATTTATAATACTATTTTCTAACAAAATGTTAAATAATTACACAAATTTGTGTGCTATATTAAATTGTCATTTCTGCATTAATGTTATTAGATTACCATAAAAATCATTAATTCATTCGTTCAGCTTCTGCATAAACCGAATTAGTTCTTCAGGTGAATTCACATGCCATCCGGCCATCGTCTTCTTATTAGATGCACCGATTGTTGTACAGAAATAGGTATCACTTGATAACTCTGATCTTCTCAATGCTCTAAACATATCTTCATCGGTTCGATCATCTCCAGCACAGAATACAAAATCTGCATCCGGATGAGATATCAATAACCGTTTTACTATCTCTCCCTAGTCGGATAAAAATTTATTAAACTTTCCTATGTTTTACTTGATGAAAAAATATAACAAATAAAATACTAAACCAACCTTATTAAATGATGTTGGTCTGACCTCCAAGTTTTTCTTTCCTAATAAGACTTCTACTGGTAATTTTGGAAGAATTGCACTTTGCAAATGGTTTTGACATTCTTTAGCTTGAAATGCACTAATTGCGAAAAGAATTTAAAAGTAAGCAGCCAGTATTGCGAAATTTAATTAAGTTATAAATTATGATGATACTTTACCCATACTCAGGATCTGCCTGCCGGTAATGCCATGTAATAGAGGACCGTTTGTGTTCAATGAAAGACCCTTGTGTTCTTTCAGTGTAATATGTAAAAATCTCCGTTACATCATTCTTCCAGCTCATATCAACATCTTCTGTAAGATTAATCCATTTATCAGAGTCTGGATTCTTAAGGAAACTTCCATGTTCTGCGCTATAGATCAAACATGATTAATTTAGTATTCATTATTTTAAAATATTATTAGTCCTTATATTTACCTGAAACCAAGTCCCTTAACAGAACCAAGCCAAGTTTCTAATGCAGTTAGATCACGCCCAGAAACGATCCAAACTGAATTATTAGGATCACTAGTAAGTGCTCCTAATGCCTCAAGCAAGTTAGATGGAGGAACCGCTGCACTTGGAATTTTTACAATCGGTGTTAATGTACCCTAAATAATTAATTAATTGTTTAAAAAAAAAAAAATTCAAAAAAAGTGAATATATTGAGAAATTACTTTAAAGGCTTACATCGTAATCGAATAATAATAATCGCTTTTTAGCAGCCTTGTATTTCTTTTGTAAGTATTTGAAATCGAGATATGGAGTGACATTCGACTGATCTTTGTTGTTTAAACTTACAATTAGCTCTTTGACAAAAGAATCTGCCCAAGATTGAGCTGTGTGATTAGTAACTTGTTTATATAATTGCTATAAAATGTAATAAATATTAATTATTTTTAATGAAATACTTATATATAATAGTGTAATAAATAATATCAAAATAATTATTTACCATATGCTTAAATTTTTTTTCTTCTGCAGGCAAATTCAGGGCATCATTGATGGCTTTTGCTACTCCACTGTAATCCCAAGGGTTTACCATTATAGCAGCACCTAAAGATCCTGCCATTCCTGTGAACTCACTCAATATAAGTGGGCCATGATTTTCCTGCTGGCACATAATATATTCAAGGGATGTTGTATTCATCCCATCACGTATAGAAGTAATAAGACCAATATCTGCAACACTTAAAAGTGCGAAATATTCATCTTGATCTATATGATTATGATAATGGTGGACGGGTGTAAACTCGAGAGAACCATACGTGCCATTTATATGAGAAATAAGTTCTGACAATTTTTTCTCTAATTTTTGTGATTCAATTTGAGCTGGTGAAGTAACTTGTATTAAAACAACCTTTTTTTTGAAAAAAAAATCAAATAAATAAATACTTTATAATAATTTTATTTTGCTATTATAAAAAGTTTTAGCATATTTACATTTCCCCGCCATTCAGGATATTCTTCTAAAAACTTTTCGAAAGAATGTAGCTTTTGAATAACGCCTTTAACCGAATCTAATTTGTCTCTGCCAACAATAATCTTTTTATCTGCATACATTTCTCTGATCGTTGCCATTTTTGGTGCAACATCAGAATGTTTCCTAAAGAATAGTTAATTAAATAATTATAATTCCATAATAACTAATCATTATAATCATTAAGTTTTATTATATACCTTTGGGCTTCAACTCTTTCAACATCAATCCCAATAGGGAAAGTACCGATAGATACGAGTGAACCCTCAAAATCAACTCCATTTGGTGTTGTTTCATAGCCCAAAATACGTGTGCAGTTGCTGATAAAGTGCCTCGAGTATGAATATGTCTAATATAAATAAATAAGCTCGTAAATTTTTTATAATCTTAAATAATAAATGTACCATTTTTACAATACCTGGAATCCGATTTGATTTGCACCCAGCATTCCATTTAAAATTTCCTTTCTCTCTATATCATAGATCAATTATTGATTACGATTAGATCAACTCAGCAGTTTAAATAAAAAATATGAAAATCAATCAACTCACTCGGTAGACACCTAAAAATTTCCGAGCTAGGAAATGGTGCATGAATGAACAAACCAATCGCAGCATCGGGGAGTCTTTCTCGTAACATTTGAGGTACAAGCAAAAGGTGATAGTCATGGATCCATACTATAATTTAAATAACTTAATTACTATAAATGTTTATGCAAATAAATAAATGTTGATCGACTTTTCAAAATCTACAACTTGCTGCGATAATAATAAAAGAATTCAACCTACCTAAATCTCCCGGCTTGTAGATATTAACAATTGTGTCAGTAAATATTTGATTTACTTTAACATATTGTTCCCAATACGTTTTTTCCTTGCGACCATCAGTAACAGTATCCCATAGTATATAGTGGAACAATGGCCATAGTACTATGTCGCGAAAAAAATACGCGAATTATATATAAATAAAGGGTACAAACTTTTCATGCATATTAATTCTTTATTTTAAACCCTACCATGTTTGCAGTATCCATCATAATGACCATGATGTTCTGTATCTTCAAGAAACAGTGGAGAAATACTTTCTTTCAATAAATGCTCTTTTAAAGATTGTTTAAGCTCTTCTGAAATACTGCTGTACTCAACCGGTTTTTCTTCCTTATCAAGTATTGTTCCTACGTAACCTACATAGTGATTTTCCCATTTAGAATTTAAAGACTTTAGACCAGAATAAAGAGTAGAGTGACCCCTTCTTTGCTTCAAGCTCCAATTATATGAAATGGAAGGCTTTTCTTCAACGGATTCAAGTACTGGTGTATAAGGGATCATATGGGTAACGTTGATTATGCGAGTATGCTTAGTAGTTCCATTGGAGACATTATTCGTAATATGCGAAGTAACTGCCGAAGAAACCATTGTAGCGAAATATGAAAAAATGAAAAATATCGAATGGGGCGAAATGTTCGTGTGTATTTATATAAATATAAAATTCGCGGGTAACTGTATCTTTTAAATCAGGCAGAAAAAAAAATTGCATCATTTAAGATAAAAGCGGTTAATCAATCAGTTCAGATAGGTGAGATAAAGAAATAATAAAACAAAGGATAAACATCATCGAAGATAGTGTTGATTAGATTTTAGAGATAAGTAAATCATTTAATCATTCATCGCTGATGTAATGATGACATTCCCCTCCAATTTTATTTTAATAAGCGGAAAAAATATACATATTTAAATGTAAAAATTAATTTAATGAATTTAATGCTTATCCTTTTCTTTTTTCTTTTTTTTTTTTTTGACAGAAATTTAACTGGGTCTGCTGGGGGGGAATTCTAATTCTGGTAATAAGGCTACAGTATATCGCATTGCATTATCTTCTTTTAATATGATTCGGTTGGTTATTATATAATTACATTTTTGATAAATCATTTGTGAATTACTAAATTAGAGTTAAATTAAAATAATTTTTTTCTTTAAATGAAGACAAAAAAATTTCATGTAACAGTACTAGTACAAAATTGTATGCTTAAATTTTTCTTATTCTTTTTAGGTATCTTAAAGAACAACAAAATTACTTATCTATATTATATCATATTTTGATCGATACTAATTTAATCAATATTCCAAATAAAGTACTTGCAATTAAAAATTGTGGTATTGAAGGTGATGATTGCTTTGAATTGACGTTGAACAAATGAAAATTTTTAGAATTAGATTTCTCGGATTCACGCGGAGATTCGTTTGATTGATATTCAGTAATCTGAATATATTATAATAATAATCAGCGCATTTGAAAGTCTAAAAAAAGTATGCAAAATCATAATTTACCTTAAAATTTGATTCGTCAGAGATAATGGTCTCATTAACAATGTCCGAATTTGATATGTTGTATTGTTGTCCCGTGAGTTCTATATTTTGAACACTTCCAAAAAAATCAGTCACGAGGACCTTATCTAATGGCCTAGAAAACAGATCGCTCCGAACACCGGGAGTTGAATGTATAAAGTTCGGGTTATATGAATTAAATAAATCTTTCAAAGTTGCCTTGCTTTGCATATCTACTTTCTCCAAAAATTCCAAATTATAATAAGTAAAACGGTCAATAACCGCAACACCAATGTCAGTGTCCATGTGATGCTAATAATAGTAGAACAATAAGTAAACCTGTGTGCTTAAAAAAAAAACAAAAAATATTTTCTGAGTGTTGAAAGATAACATACTGAATAAGAATTCTCTCCAAGTTCACTACTTCCAGTAGCCAATATATTGGGTGAATATATTTGACTATACATTGTATTCGCTTGACATGTATCAATCATGAATAAAACTTCATGATACCTGAATTATAAAAATACAATTTATTTTTTTCTTTTTTTTTAAAAAAAAAAGACGCATAAAAATATACATATTTTCTAACCTTCTCTTTTCCCACATTTGCTCAAACGCATCTGCCAAATCAAAACTACTAATCTCTTCGGCATCTTGAAATTTCAAGAATTCATTACCACCATGACCAGTCATGTACACTAAAATGTTTGACCGATCATCAGACAGTAAACGCTTAGATCGAGGTGTATCCGGAGCAACACGGCCTATAACATTCAGAGATTAGTGTAAAATTATCTTGCGTATTAATATATTAAACAATATCTCACCTGTTAAGACTCGAATAAAATTCTCCACTGTTACCTCATAACCCCTATAATCTACTTCTACATTATCTCCATACAGGTCCAAATATCTTCCAGCATTGTTAAACACTGTAGCAGGAAATGCATTACGTGGATTACAGGCTACGTCGTCGGCAAGCATTAAGATGATATTCGAATCCGGAATACCTAAACGCTTTACTGTACGATATATTGATAATGTATTCGCAATATGACGGTAATTAAACCAAAATCTCGAAGTGCATACCTGTTGAAAAAAAATTATTAGCTATATCTTTTAAACAACAAAATAGATCTTAATTAGCGTATGTTGATACTCTACCAAAACTGCCCAATTGTTAGTATGACCTCCTCGACTAAAGAAGCCGTCTACGATAGCTTCAGTATCCTGGGCTAAAGAAATTTGAGAAATAATAGTATATAATATTATCAAAATTGTAAGAAATCGTATAATATTAAAAGTCATCGTAGAAATATGAAATTTGAGTTTTAATTTTTGCGCACTATATATATATTTTAAATTAGTAACGAATGCTGTACAACGTGACGTACATAATATTACAAGCCCACATAATAAAATAAACAAAAAAAAACTATATATAAATTTAATTTCTACAAATTTTGGTTTTTAAACCATAATTTCACTCATGAACAGCCTATTAGGTCTTAACTATTATGACGACGAAGACGACGAACAACAACAAAAAACTGAAAAGGACGGTAATACAGCCAAACCAATTAAAGCTATCTCAGGTAAAAGTCTTTTACAAACAAGAGCTCGCAAAGACATTAACGGTTTCAAAAAGTTATATTGATTTTATTTTCGAAACAGCTCCGGGGCTATCCAGTCTGGTTAGCTATAAAGACGATGATCAGGAAGGCGACGAAGAAGAGGAAGGAAACGAAGCTAGTAATGGGCTTAAAAACGTAGTATGGTTTCTTTAAAGAGCATGTTTTTTATATAAAATTGTTGAGCAGAGTTTGTTAGTTGACAAAAGACTACAATTTGGTTCCTAACAGAGTGCGTATAATTCTCAAGCTATAGTACATAATGATACAGGTAATTGAAAGGACATACCGTTTAGGTATTTAATTGTGATGTCATTGGGTGTGTTTTTGTTTTATTGGAATACTTGTATATTCAACCATAATAAAGTTTAACCGAATTTTGCCAAATTTGAATTTTAGGCGGTAAACAATCAAAGGAAGAATCAATCAAACCACCACCTCCAACAATACTGCTTCCTAAAAAAGCACTGGCGCAATCTCCAGATTTTTCCAATTTAGTCCGTCGAAAAGACAATAATCCAACTCCACATAAACGTGATGGCTTATCCGCATCACCGAAGCAGGTTGTTTCATCCCCAGTTATAAATATATTATCACCACACCAAAAAGCTGCGGAGCCTGTAGAACAGCAAAAAAGTGATACTGGAGATAATATATCTACAACTCCAATGGAGACGGATACACAATTCGATGAATCAGATTATGCCAATAGACAAGTTCTTATGCGTCAATTATTAACACCCAAACCAATTGAAGGCAAAGATAATTGGGGTATTCCACCTGAACCTGAAAAAGAGTGTGATCAAGATCTTCAGGTATTATAATTGAAAAATTTTTTGCATTTAAAATAATATATTTGAATTTACTTTTAACATGTTCTAAATTTAAAGGCAAAGATCGTACATTTTTACCAATTAAAAGAAAGAGGCGTTCATTTTAATAAAAATCTTTTGAAAAATAAGGCTTTTCGTAATCCTCACATATATAATAAGTTAGTAGAATTCGTGGAGTTAGATGAAATTGGGTCAAATTTTGATCGAGAAGTTTACGATCCTTATGGATTTCCACCAGAGGCCTTTGCGGACCAACTCGGTAAATTCATGCACATTTATACTGCTCGTTATTTTAATTTTTAATATAGATCAGAATATGATATTATTTATTTTTATTTCAAAGCGGAAGTCCAAAAGAGAATCGCGGAGGAACGTACATTAGCACAGCAACAACAACAGCGGAGTCAAATACAATTTGTTGGTTCTTCAAATACACAAAATATATCAAAAGCCCGTCATGTTATGCAAAGTTTGGCTGCTAGAGCTGAAAGAGGTTCAAGTGGTAATAGTGTTACTGCAAAATCCACATCCATTACATCTGCTACATCCGCTATAAACACCACATCATCATCCATAAGAACATCGATTTCCAGGACATCGACTAGCACATCAGGTAATGTACATATGAATATGCTTTGTTAATTTATTGTGTTTTTTAATTAATTTCTTAATTAATAGGTCGAAAGCGTGCTAGTAAATGGGACGTGCCCGCTCCAGAAGCAATAGCATCATCCTCTAAAACAAACCATTCATCTTCATCATCATCAACAAGTTCTAGGCACACTAGAAGAAATAGTCGAGATCGAGATCGAGATCGTGAACGAGAACGAGAACGCGATCGAGATCGTGACAGAGATCGTGACAGAGATCGTGACAGAGATCGCAACAGAGATCGTGATAGAGATCGTGAACGTGATAGAGATCGTGCTCGTGATCGTGATCGTGATCGTGATTCGAAAAGATCAAAAGTTTAAGTTTTAATAATATATTAGGCATTATGTTTTTTGCAAAAATAATTATTTAGAAACTATTATAATCTAAAAAAAAACACTAAGATAATTCACAAAAAAAAAAAATTTCTTTTTTGTTATCTTGGTACGGCATTTTTTTTTTGTTTTTTTTTTTTTAAAAAAAAAAAAAAATCTAAAAATATACAAATAAAAAATTTTTTTGACTGTCGATCAAAAATTACGGATTAAAATAAATTCGAACAATCTGTCACGTAAATCACGTGTCGCTTTTGAGTATTCTGGGACAATTTTTCGAGATTTATTGTGCGTTTTCTCAAGGAGTATGAGTGTATGCACACAGTATATTTGGGAATAAAGTTTAATTCTATTTATTACCGTATAGTAATCCGCTATTTCTAATTTAAAGGTTACTATAAAGAGTTTTTGTTCTAATTGATTTATTGAACTAAGTCAAAGAGTTAAAATAGATTATGGAATAGATTGCTAAATAGTAATAAAGATAACAATATTCTTTATTATTTTAATTAAATAATTAAATATGAGCGGTTACATTATACGGGCTTAAAAATCTTAATTGTGATAGACATTAGGCTAGGTTTGGGCAAGCGTTGCGGGTCCGAAGCAAGCCTAAAATTTGCGATTTTATTGGCTCAATATCACGTGAATGAACAGAAGAGTTCTCATAGTACGTATAAATATATTGTCCTTCGCTTTTCTTCGAACAATCAGGTACTTTGTATCATACTCGGGAAAAATTTTTTTTATGTTCTTATTTTTAATATAATTTCAAATTACAGTATTTTTTGATTATAATAAATATAATAAAATATATTTAGGCATAGACAGTTTTAAGTATAACCAACTGTTTCACCAAATAAATCTTTAAGCACATCACCAATAGCGTCGACATGATTAGCAATACCTCCCATAATCGAAGAAACAGCATAAAATCTAATATACTCAGGATCTTTTAAAATAAAAGTATTATTATCTTCCCTATTTTTGTTTCTATTTCTTTGTTCATTGATTGTTAATTCTTTGACCAACCTATATGCTTCATTAAATAAATTATTTCTCATTTCTGTAGATTTAGGTAAAATATGAGGTAAAGGACGTTTACTAATTAAAGCATTAGCAAATAAATACATTAATACAACTACAACACTTTGTAATTGAGTTCTAGCCTTATGAAGTGGAATAACCAAATTGTGAACGAAATTATCTGAAAAATCCTTCCTACTCATTGTAACTAATCTAGCCCAAGAAAGTCTGTCTAATATATGTCGTAAATGAACTAAAACAATATCATATTTTAGAATAGGAAATGGAGCAATTAATCTTGGTTCAGCAGATGAGAAAGCAAATAATGGTTGTATTTTAATTATAGATCTTTGTATTTTAAGTTCTACATGTCTTAAATCGTCGTCAATTTTTTGTAATTCATCTTCGCGTTGCTTTTTTGTCAACGAAGTATTTGAAAGCAACTTATTAAAGATTGTACAAAATTCCTCAAAATAAAGTATCAAATTAACACTTATGTTAGATAAGCTTCTTCGAAGTTCGTGCCTTGCCAAATTAGGATAAATGACTATTTGTAATATGAATGCTAATATAATTGCAATGGCTGTAATAGCCAAATTTTTGTATGTTGCTACTATCGGACTATTAGCATTTGGTATTTTATTCTTCATTATTACAAATTGTGGTATCAATACGGTTGCGTAGGATAATCTTGAAAGTAAACTCACAAGAGCCAAGCGAGGTATACTTGCTATATAGTACATTAATATTGCATATAATATTATGAAAAATGATAATCCATATCTAAATTAAAAGAGAGAAATTGTTTAATTAAATAATATAAAAGGGAAAATTAATATAAAATAATACTTACGGATTTGTTTCCCATACTATTAAAGAGACGTAAGCCCAAATTGATCCAAATATTGTTCCAGCAATTAAAATCTATAAAGACAGAAGGGTTAAAAGTGATATTAATAATAAAAAATTGATAATTAAAATTAAACAAAACTTACGGATAAGTTTACATAAGTTTGGCCAATAACGGGAGTCATTAAAACAAGCACCTAAATTTATAAATTTTTAAAAATTAATAAAACTCAAATTTATTATAAATTAAACTTTTCTTTATTATAATTACCGAAACAACACCGGTGTTTATATTCCATCTTACGAAGAAATCTTTTGCACTTCCACCAATTAATAACGGTAATATATAAATAATTAAAGCAACGCCCGTTTTAATCGCAGATATACTAATATTACTTTTAAATGCATACAAAAACTTTGCTAATTTAACTCTAATCGTAACAATGGGGTTAGAATATTTGTCGTAACTTGTACCATCATCGCTTTTAATTTTCTTTTTGAATAAATCAGGTATCATCCATTTATAATTGATTCTCAATTTTTTCTCTCCTTTTATATTAACAATCTTTCCAAGTCTTAATAATTCTTCAACATATTCTCTAAAACCAAACGTAAAAAAATAGCTGAAAAATATATCTTCCCATGTCGATTCTTTCAAAATAATGTTATCGTCAAGTTCTACTTTATTCTCACTTTCAATTGTAATAATAGATTCGTCATCTTTTGTAGATGTGATATTTTCAGTATAAACATCATCTAAGGTAATATTTTCTAGGTGAAGTAATTCTATCATAATATTACTTTGTTTTTCTTCATATTCTTTTAAACTACTTCGTAGATTATCTTGCCAAATTTTTCCATCTAGTTCTTCTACTTCATCATTTTTAATTTCACCCTTTTCTAATTCATTCTCTCTAACAATTTCAGCAATCTTTTTATTTTTATGATATTGAGGGTCTATAGTTTGTTGAAATGAAATGATAGATTTTCTACATACTTCATTTAATGCCATGGAATTTTCTTTAAGTAAATGTAATGAATCTTTATCAAATCTTTCCTTACATCTTTTTGACATACTATTATATAAACCAAGTAAATGTAGTTGCATTAAATTTATACAACGTACTTGGTCTTTATACTCTTTTATTGAAAATTTTGAATACGTTAATTCTGCTTCTAATGCATCTATTATGCGAACCAGAGAAAACGCATCGGATCGAATTTGTGTGGAAAAAGATTTAAGTCGAGATATTTCATCCTCATTTAGAGAAAGTAAATAATCTTTTAATAATAATGTGTGAAACGAACTTAAGTTTGTAAGCGAAATACAGATTTGTGAGATTAAATTACGTTCAGCTGTTGTTGGCCATATGATTACATTAACTACCTACAGTATAATATAATAAAAAAGAAAAATATTATTAAAAATAAGATTGTTAAAAAAAATCACAATTATTACTTCGTAATATTATATCATATATATATACTTTACCCATGCGATGGTTATTCCTATAAAATACGTAACTGTAGCATCACTTAAAAAACTTTCTCTGAATGTCCCAAATATAATCCTAGTAAAAATTCCTTGAAATGCTCCAACACAAATTATTAGACCAAATCCAAAATATTTCATATTAATAGCTCTTATGATTGATGTTAAATATGTGGTCACAAATAATAAAATTATCATTGCTACTTCACTATTTCCTAATGCTCCCGCTTCTAATATGAATAACGAATGACCTATCAATATACCAAATATTAAAAAAGCTACCGTTTGCACAAATTCTCCTAATGTTGCTGCGCTAATAAATAAAAAAAAATGAAAAATTTTTAAGAATATAAAAAAAAATGTACAGAAAATTCAAAGGTATTACGGAAATTTACTTACGGATTTAGGATTATTGTAGGAAGTACAATATTAAAAAGCGTTTGTGGATTCTTAAAATGATTTCGAAATACATCGATAAATATAATTAAAAATGCTAACCAATAAGCTAATGTTCCTATAAAAAATATATTTTAGTCAATCACAGGCTCATGTCAAATAAATATATGAATTTATTATTATATTCACCCTTAATAACCTTTTTGAAGTTTGATGTTAGGAATATAGTGATATTTTTACGAATTACTGAAATTTTATTTTGAGTCGGTTTATTTGATTCTGGAGGAATTCCGGAAGAATTATTTTGCGGTGGACTCTCGGTTATCGGAATTGCCATTTTTAAATTTAACAAACTTTTAATTAGATTTACATATGATCAGGAATTAAATTGCTATAAATATGAGCTTCGAGCAATTTGCTTGTTAATTTTTTTTTTTTCGAAAGAAAAATTATGTATTCACATTTATATGTAATCATTAAAACCTAATTAATAATATTAAGTCTCAAATCGAGTGCCTCTAAAAAGCGCCAATAAATTTATAGCAATGATCGGCTTTATACACAATTATTCGGAATTTTTAATTATTTAAGCGAGTTTAGTAAGCAATTAACTTAATTTCAAAAAAATGAAATTTAATCCACATAGTGTGATAAATGAGGTAAAAGATAACTAATAAAATAAACTAGTACGACATCAATCCTTATTAATTCAAGCTGACTGATTAGTAAGTAACACGTAAATTCTATGATTATCTGATAAAAATTGATATTCATTAGTAATTATTTGAGTCGCTAATGTTTAATAGAATCAACTGTGCATTAAAGTGATAGTATTGATTCGAAATATTCAGTCAATGGACCAGATGAGATGGCGTCATTGAGAAAAATTAACTTACAAAGATGTATTTGACGAATAATATTTCTATCACAGTTACACCAAAGCGTAAAATTCTTTTTAGTTATCCATAAGATAGCCTTAAAAAATCACTTATTTGACAGTTAAAGGCATCCCTTGTTCCAGTGTAACCTTGTGGCAGTGATGTGCATTGGAAGCGTCCAATAACTTTTTATTGGAATTGGAAGGCTTGAAATTTGAAGAATTGGAAGATTCCCATATTCCAATAATTTTCAACACATATTAGTTTTTATATATACGTATATATATTTCTATGTGCACTGGAAGCTTCCAATAAAAATTTGTTGGCATTGGAAGGCTTGGAATTGGAAGAATTTTCCAATGGCTTCCAATCTTCCAATGCACATCACTTCCTTGTGGCGTTTAATAAATGCGGCACGATTGGTGGCAATATATTTTTACATAAATTGTTAAGGGAATTGGATTATTAAAATAAAGTTTGAATTAATGAGATTAAAACTGTGTAGTTCATGACGAATGTTATGTAAAACCGAAGTTAATAACTTACAAAATAGATTTTTATTCGTCACATGGTTAATTCTTAATGCCGGACGAGCACCTATAATGCAGGCCAAGTCAAACCAACTTTTTTTTTAATTTTACATATTATAATTTATATAATAAAAATTAGTTTTTCTTCAATAATAAATACGGTAGAGTTTGGAAAAGTCCAGGTCTTGGACACTTAATTTGGACGGTCACAATTTTGGTCTTTAATATACAATATAAATTAGAGGCAGATCTTTCACAAGAAATCCCTATAAAAAAAGTAAATACGTTTTTTATAATGAAAGATACGTTTTTTATAATGAAAGATACGTTTTGTATACTGAGAGATACGTCTAGATACGTCTAGATACGTCTAGATACGTCTAAATACGTTTTGAGATACGGAAAAATGCACAATTCCGTATCTTGCAAGACACGTTTTGTATACGGAGACACTGAAAAAACGTATCATGTGAGATGCGGAATTGTGCATTTTTCCGTATCTCAAAACGTATCTAGACGTATACAAAACGTATCTTTCAGTATAAAAACGTATCTACTTTTTTTATAGGGAATAGATTGCATCCAGATATGTCTTGTGCTTTATTGTGTTCAAAAGTTAGTTTGAAAAAGGAGTAGGAAAGAAAGATGACAAGTTTTTGGGTAATAATAAATTTATGTTTATCGCGTGGCTTAATAATAATTAACGTTCTTTATTTAATATACCGGAACCTTGATATATCGGAACATAAGTCTTGATATATCGGAATTAGGGTCTGGAACGGATTATCATAATCTATAATTAATTTACCCTCGATATAACGGATTTCTCGATATAACGGATTTTTGACAAATTTTACTAATGGAACGGATGGTTCCATCATATCGAATTTCACTGTGTATTCAATCAATTCAAGTCCTAGTTTTGGTCCCTAAACTGAGTCCAGTCCATCCATATGCAAGGACCTATAAGTCTTGGGACTTTAACCGGACTGTAACGGACTTTCCATTCCTTATAATTATGCCATATTATGATCTTTAAACAATTGAAAGAGCAAATACTTTAGTATTGTTACCTCCTTTACCAAATCTTTCATAACCACTATCAGCATAAACGATACCATTTAACAATACAACTTGGTATGCAAGCAAATAAATGACCATTATCATCTTGACTAAACAACTCCATTTGAATAGGACACTGGATCCCATCCACCAGCTTGTGTTGGATTTGCTGTTTGCCATAATATTTCTAATATATCAATTGCTACTATTGCATCTCCAAATGTTGCTGGTTTGCTGGTTGACTTTTAGGAGATGGCTTTGCAATACATACGCTTTTCTTCCACGATATAAAATATCGTTTTCCTTCTCTGAAAAATATTATCATTAAAAAAAGGCAAAAAAAAAAAAATACTTACGTAGCACAACCGAACATTACCTCCTAAAATTAAAAAAAAGTTTTCCATGAGTGATTGAGCTTTAATAAATAAAGTACAGGGTAATATCGAAATTTTATTACCGTCAATACTTCCAGGCCCAGATGTAACGAACCAAATTATTTCTACTGTGGCAACATTCAATGCCCATGTAATTCCAGATTTTGCATTTGCTATCGCAAGTAAAATACCAATCATTTGATTTAAAACATGCATTAACAAGTAAAGGAGCTTGAACGAAATCTATTAATAAACCATAAACCTATAACCATGTAAAATTATATCAATATGATCTGATATTATAATTTTACCATAATCTGGTCCGGCAGGATACTTTTCCAGAAATACAAGCTACAGTTCAACTATCAAAACTAGATAATCTTGTTACCCATTTTACATCTCCTTTTTCAATGTCTAATGTAAGAATCAAGTCAAGGAAATTACTTGGATCATGACATGCTGATTTCTTTTCAGGTGTTGTTGCATTCGTAATACAATTTGTACCATTTTCTGGAATCTGTTAGAGTAAATATGAATTAAATTTATGAGGTTAATAAAATTTAAGTATTATAATAATTGAAATGCCTATTAATAAAATATAAAAGTTTACCTCATAATTGTTACCAGTAGCGATGTTAACTTTTTAATAGGATCAATCGCAGGCGCAGATCCCCATACTGCATTTCCAGACAGACTACCATAAAAGTTCTCCATATAATGTACAACAAACATAATCAGGTATATTAGCCACAGCTCCTTCTTCGTTTGAAGAAACTCCAATATATGCGGCATTATCAAATATTGTGGGAGATTGCGTTATAATAGCATATGGATGTTCAAACTAATTTGCTATAAAAATCTATTACAATAACAAAACCGCTAGATTTTGAGTACCGAATACTTTTAAGTTTTCTTTTGGATCAATCGCAAGTGTAGTAGTACGGCTTAACGTTCTTGGACCTGATGGTTGTGGAAGATATGTTTTTGTTATATTAACTTTTCGATTGCAGAATATAAAATCCTGCCCAATCGGAAATTTTTGAAAAGTCACTGGAGTAAACTTTCAACTAGTGTTTCAACCCGCCGATAATCCGTTATCCGTCAATCCGATCCGTTTAATATCCGTCACCCGTCAATCCGATCCGTCTAATAAATACAATCCGGATATCCGTAGTGATGGATTGAAGATTATCCGGATATCCTAACGGATCCATCCGGATACCTTTAATAATCTAAATATATGGAGATTTAAAAAAGTAACGAAAAAAAGAAATAAAAAAAGTTAACCTACCTATTGTCTCTGAAGCCAGGTCTAAGGATCTAACGAAATTAGAAAAGTTCGTATGATAACATCCGGATAATCCGATAATTCGGATGATCCGTTACGGATATCCCTCATCCGTATCCGTTTAAAAAATCCTATCCGGGTAACCGTAAATGGCGGATATCTGTCCACGGATACGGATTGCGGATAAACGGGTTGAAACACTACTTTCAACTGGAAAAAATATTTATTACCTTTGAAGAACCAACATTTTGAGAGAAATAGCATCGGAATTACGTTATTATTGATATTATTTTCACCAGTGTCACCAAAACTCAACCAATCTTCATAAGAGAATACATTAAGAAAATTATACGCGAATAAAATTATGATTAATAGAGCAGGAATTGATTTCATTTTTTTATTACTATTATCAATTATGATGAGAACTTATAGAAAGGAACGTATAAGCCAAGTCATATTTATAACAAAATTGCAATGTATAAATTTATAATTTTATAATTTTATAATTTTTTGAATTCGTTAAATTCTAATTTACATTTGATATTCATAGTATCTATATTTTTAGTTTTTTAAATAAAGAAATTAACGAATATGGTATGCAATTTCTGGAATATGCACCAGCGTGCGAAGGTTCTATGAAATATTTTTATACATACACGCAGCTTTCTTATAGTAATTACAAAGTAAGATTAATTTCCTGCGTTAAATTATTGTTAAAACAACTGCAGAATTGATTTATAGAAAATTTTTTAAGATTTACGAAAATTAAATTACAGGTATAAAAATATGATATTTAACTATTAACAAAAAGGTGAAATTTAGCTTATTTGAAAGCTGAAAACCCGTAGAATTTTATTATCAATGATAAATTTAAGATGAAATTTAATTTAATTTTTTTTATCATCGAGCTTATAATAAAATGAATATGTGTTCTTTACATAGAGTACTGTAGATTGTCATAATTTTTAATAATATTTGAGAAAATTTGCATCCACTCTTAATTTACAAATTTAAAATCAACATTTGTATTTAATTTTCATTCAAGTTTATTTCGCATTTTAAATGACTTAAATTGGTTTATTTTGAATAAACTATATGCATTTTTGTAATTTGAAATATTTTTTAGCATTTTTACTATATACCAAAATTAACCACCATTCTATCATAATGTTTCCATCTGCTGATTTTTTAATATACAATATTTAAATGGTTTTATAAAAAATCAAGTCCAGTAAATTTTTTAAACATTAAAAGATACTTTTATAAGAGTTGAAAATTTTAAATCAAAAAAAACCGAAATTAAATAATTTTAAGACCAGTAGACTAACTAGTCGGACAATCGGCACTTAATACATTAATCGTAGTATAAATATCATTAAGTAACGTGTCAAACGTTCTATTTACTTATACATTAATGTGAAAGAGCAAATACTTTAGTATTGTTAACTCCTCCACCAAATCTTACATACCCACTACCAGCATAAACGATACCATTAACAATACTTGGTCCACAAGCAACAGTACCACCCGTAACAAAATCCAATAAAATATTTCCATTTTCAGCATCTAAAGCAAATAAATGACCATTATCATCATTACTACCATACCAAACAACTCCATTTGAATAGGATACTGGAGCCACTCCCTTATCTTGTGTTGGATTTGCTGTTTGCCATAATATTTCACCTGTTAATATATCAATTGATACTATTGCTCCTCCAAATGTTGCTGGTTGACTTTTAGGAGATGGCTTTGTAAATACGTACGCTTTTCCTCTACTGTTCGATTGTGATACGAAATAGTGTTTTCCATCTCTAAAAATATTATTATTTAAGTCAACTATTTCAAAAAAAAAGTAAAAAAAAAATCAAGATAAAATTAAATACTTACGTAGCACTACCAAACATTGAACCTCCTAAGATTAAGTTTTCCAGGAGTGATTAATAATTAATAATTTTTCAATTAACTGTACAAAGTAAATAAAAATTCATTACCGCCAACACCTCCAGGTCCAGATTCAACGAACCAAATGATTTTTCCTGTGGCAGCATTCAATGCCCATGTAATTCCAGATTTTGCAGTTGCTATCGCAAGTAAAATACAATCATTTGATTTAGAACATGCATTAACAAGTAAAGGAGCTTGAGCGAAATCTATCAAATAAACCATAAAATTTTTAGTAAATCATACATATAACCATATACATAAATTATATCACGATAATTGTTTAATATATAATTTATAATTTTACCATAATCTGGTCCGGCAGGATCAGGACAATTTTGTGGGTTAGTCCCAGAAAGACAAGCTACAGTCCAACTATCAAAACTAGATAATCTTGTTACCCATTTTACATCTCCTTTTTCAATATCTAATGCAAGAATCGCGTCAAGGAAATTATTTGGATCATGACATGCTGATTTCTGTTCAGGTGTTGTTGCATTCGTAATACAATTTGTAACATTTTCTGGAATCTGTTAGAGTAAATTTGTAAAGTTGGCAAAACTTAAATATTATAATTGAAATACCTATTAATAAAACATATAGAAGTTTACCTCATAATTGTTACCAGTAGCGATGTAAACTAACTTTTTAATAGGATCAATCGCAGGCGCAGAACCCCATACTGCATTTCCAGAATACAGATCAGGCCTACCATAATTATCAGGTACCATAAAAGTTCTCCATATGACTTTTCCAGTTTTTAAATCCAATTTAGCAAAACTTCCTCGAAATGAGCAACAAACATAACCAGGTACAGTAGAAGCAGCTCCTTCTTCGGCTGAAGAAACTCCAATATATACGGCATTATCAAATATTGTGGGAGATTGCGTTATAACAGCATATGGATGTTCATCAATTAATGTACGCCAGACTAATTTACCATAAAGATCTATTGCTATAACAAAACCACTACCACCAGAAATATTTTGAGTACCGAATACTATAAGTTTTTCTTTTGGATCAATCGCAAGTGTAGTACGACTTATCGCTCTTGGATCTGATGGTTGTGGAAGATAGGTTTTTGTTATATTAATTTTCCAATTTATTTCTCCCGTTCTTGCATTTGCAGAATATAAAAATCCTGCCCAATCGGGAAAATATACATTATTTTGAAAAGTCACTGGAGTAGCTGAAACTGAACTTTCAACTGGAATAATAAATTTAACCTATTTGTATTCATAGATTTTGATTTTTATAATTACGAGACATTGAAATTTAAAATTATAATATAAAGAAAAGATATTTATTACCTTTAAAGAACCAACATTTTTGGGAGAGATTATTTTCTCAGCATCGGAATTACGATTATTATTGATATTATTTTCACCAGTGCCACCAAAACTCAACCAATCTTCATAAGAGAATACATTAAGAAAATTATACGCGAAAAAAATTATGATAAATAGAGCAGAAGTCGATTTCATTTTTTTTTATTATTATTATAAATTACGACGAGAACTTGTAGAAGCCTCATATTTATAACAAAATTGCAGTGTACAAAATTTATTAATTTAAATTGTTGATTTTATTTTTGAATTCATTTGATATTTTTAGCTTGCATTGTAAATAGAAAATAGAATGTTCCAAAATAAATAAATCAAATTTACCGCATAATTATCGTTGATATAATTTTAGCTTATCCTGTTATGGTTGTATTTAACAATATGTACTAGCGCAAAATGTTTACATGCAGATTATTTTATAATGAGATTTCCTTCGTTAATTCATTGTCATAAAAATAGCAATCTGCTAAACCTGAATTAAACCGACGAATTTCTTTTCTAAACATTAAACTTAATATTGTTTCTTACTTTATTTTTAAATTTCACGAAAATTTAATTCGTGATCCGCCAGTAAATGTTATATGCAGTTCCGCCAAATTGCAACGTACAAATTATTAAAATATAATATCGAACTAATATTAATAGGTATAAAATATGCTATTTAACTATTTACTGCCAAAGTCCGGTAAGTTTTTAATTCGTTACGCCATAATATCCTACACAAGGTAATAATATCCCGAAATGACGCGAGAATCCGGCGTAGAGTCAAATAAAGGTAAAAATCGAGAAAAAAATTGTTTAAAAAATAAATTATTTGATACTTTGAGATAAATATTACCGTATAGCACTGACTGAAATACTTCGGGTATAAATAAATTTACCCGATTTAAAACATTGATTCGTACCCGGGTCTATATTTCAGTACTAGAAGAATTTAATGTATGGAAATTTTAAATATTCGGGAAATTAACTAGATCTGACATTGCATATTTGATATACCGAAATGGGATCTTTCAGTACGGTATGTAAGGTGTTAACATAAAGACATGATCGACATAAATTTGTGAATTTTGTATTTCACGGGTCACGAATTAAACATTAAAAAAGTACCTCCTAAGAGCTAAATTTAAAAAAAAACGAAATTTAATAACTTTAAGACTAGCCGGTCACTATTATATTTACTCGTATATTAATGTGAAAAAGCAAATACTTTAGTATTGTTAATTCCTTTACCAAATCTTTCTTAACTACTACCAGCATAAACGATACAAATAATATTATCAGTAAATGACCATTACTACCATACCAAAAAACTCACCAGCTTGTGTTGGTTGGATTTGCTGTTTGCTTCACCTGTTATAATATCAATTGCTACTATTGCTCCTCCATATGTTATTGATCGACTTTTACTCTTCTCTTCCACTGTTCGATTGTGATACGAAATATCGTTTTCCACCCCTGAAAAATTATTATTAAAGCCAAGTTAACTTATTTAAAAAGGCAAAAAAAAAATAAAAAGGTACTTACGTAGCACAACCGAATATTGAACCTCCTAAAATAAAGTTTTTCCGTAATTAAGATTTAATAAAAAAAAGAAAATAATAAATTTTTCATTAATTATGTACAGGGCAATATCGAAAATTTATTACCGTCACGATTTCCAGGCCTAGATGCAACGAGCCAAATTATTTCTCCTGTGGCAGCATTCAATGACCATGTAATTCCAGATTGAGGTTGCTATCGCAAGTAAAATATAATCATTTGATTTAGATCATGTGTTAATAAGTAAAGGAGCTTGAGCGAAATCTATTAATAAACATAAAATTCTTAGTAACATATAAAATTATATCAAGATTTATAATTTTACTGTAATCTGTTCCTGTAGGAACAGGGCAATTTTCTGGGTTAGATGTAGTTATACAAGCTACAGTCCAACTGTCATAACCAGGTAAGTTTGTTACCCATTTTACATCTCCTTTTTCAATATCTAATGCAAGGATCGAGTCAAGGAAATTATTTGGGTCATGACATGCTGATTTCTTTTCAGGTGTTGTTGCATCGTAATACAATTTGCAACATTTTCTAGAATCTGTTAGACATGTTAGCAAATTTATAAAATTATTAAAACTTAAATATTATAATTGAGATACCATATTACCAATAAAAATATAATCATTGTTACCAGATGTAAACTAACTTTTTAATCGGATCAGCAGATCCCCATACTGCATTTCCAGAATACAGACCAGGTTTATCATAATTATCAGGCGCTATAAAATTTTTCCATATAACTTTTCCAATTTTTAAATCCAATTTAGCGAAACTTCCGTGCAACAAGAATAACCAGGTACCAAAAACGCAGCTCCTTCTTCGCTTGAAGAAACTCCAATATATACGTCATTGTCAATTAATTTTTTCAATTAAATTACCTATTTCTATAACAAAACCAACAAAAACAGTACTTATACTAATAAGGATTTTGAGTACCAAATATTATAAGTGGAGCAATCGCAAGATTTATCACTTTTGGATCTGATGGTTGTGGAAGATATGTTTTTGATACATTAATTTTCCAATTTATTTCTCCCGTTCTTGCATTTGTAGAATATAAAAATCCTGACCAATCGGGAAAATATACATTATTTTGAAAGTCACCGGAGTAGCTGAAACTGAACTTTCAACTGGAATAATAAATTTAACCTATTTATGTACATAGATTTTGATTTTTATAATTGAGAGAGCGAGAGACGTTGAAATTTTAAATTATAATAAATATAACTGATAAATAAAAGATATTTATTACCTTTAAAGAACCAACATTTTTGAGAGAGATTATTATTTTCTCAGCATCAGAATTACGATTATGTCGATATTATTTTCACCAGTGCCACATGCCACCAAAATCAATCAATCTTCATAAGAGAATACATAAAGAAAATTATACGCGAATAAAATTGTTATGATAAATAGAGCAGGAATTGATTTCATTTTTTATTTCTATTATCAAATATTCGAAAACTTGTAAATATTTATGACAGAGTATAATGTGCGAATTTGCATTGATTTATTTATAAATTTAATTTACATTTGAAACGCATCCAATTATTCGTCACAATAACTCTTAAAAGGATAAAACGTTCCATATTAGTACATCATATATCTTTTAATTATGGCTCACGATTGAACTATTGGAGAGTGTATAATCCGAAAATGAAAACATGCATTTAAAGACAATAGAAAATCTGCAGGGTCGATTTCTGTGTAGTAATGTTTCCAGCTGATGAAAAATTTGACCAATAAAATTGTTTACATGGCAATCTAAAATTTTTTAATATATATTCTCTTATATTAAGGCTGCTGGGGTAGAGATTGGACCCCGTCTAAAAAAATCTCACCTGGCAGATGGACCCGCGGATCACCCGGGTGAAAGTCGGGTAACCGGTTGACCCAGGGTGGAAATTAGGGGTTTAAACAAGCAACTTTGTCTCTAATATTTACGAAACAGAAAAAAAAATCCCTTAATTTAAATTTATTATTAGATTGTAATTTACTAAAACAAAATAATTTAATTGCTAAATTTAAAAAAAGGAATTATTATTATAAAAATTATATTTGTCCTTTACATATTCTAAAATTAGAAACTGCAATATTTAGAGTTTAATAAAAATTGGTTTAAAAGTATATTAAGTAATAATATTTATTATTGATAAATTTAAATTTCAAAACACCCTTTTCAGTTATATTTATAACTATATTTTTGAAAAATGAAATTTTATTTTTTTATATATACTTTTAAATTTTAAGGATAAGTAATAGGTAAGAGTTTATTTTTAAAGATTTTTTTGCAAATATAGAACTAGTTTTACTTATTTTTAAATATTAATATTGAATTAAAATGTTAAATCTTATATTATTCAAATACTTTTTTACTTTAAAAAAAAAAAGAATAACCCCATTATTAGAATTTATTACTTTGTTATTTTTTGCTTTTTTTAATAAATTTTTTTTTTTATTATTATATTCAAAAAGAAGTAGTACTCTAGTTAATACTCTATGCTCCTTATTTAAAGAAAAAATTATGAAAAATCAGACCTATACTAAATAAATTGCACCTTACTTGCTAGCAAATATACCCTATAAGTTTAAAATCTCTAGATCTGGTCTGCTAATTTAATCTAATAACTTTCAATTAGTCAATTACTAACCTATCAATTTAATATTCATTTGCCGCTGCTAATTTACTATATCTACTATTACCAATATAATTACTACTATTAGGACCATGTTTTAATAAAATTATTAAATAATTGATTATACCATCATTATCTACAATTCTTTCTGCACCACCTTTAACATTATCAACCCAATAATAAACTAGAACAAACAACGCTGATTTTCGACACGTGAAACGCATTCGTTATAAGCATTCTCCGCTTGCATCCAAATTTCGGTACCTTCAATTGATACATCCAATACATCAATATCCTTCACGCTTTCGTAAGCCAATTTAACTTCTTCCATTGAATTAATAACTTTAACAATTGTTGGATGAAGTTGTTCATGTTGTTTTCTGAAATTCCTTACAAAAGCAACACGTTCTTGTAATTTGTCATGTGCAGGGCTAATTTTAATTGGGATAAACTTGTCTGAACGTTTACGTGTAACATCACGCGCTATATCTTTAAATTCTTTAATGTTTTCGTCCCAAGTCTTAAACACATCTTCAGCACCAGACATAATTTTTTCGAAATCTTCATATTCCATATACATTAATCCTCGGTTACCCAAAACTCTGAGTAGCTGATCATTTAAATCACGTGATATAGCTTCAACAAGTACGAGAGCTTTTTTGATTGGATATGTGCTAAAAATTATGAAATTATAAGTAAAAGATGAAAAAATTTACAATTATTAAATAAATATATATAAAACTTACGATAATCTTAATTTCTTCAAATGAGTAAAAATAATGTCTAATGATTCTTTTATCTTATTCACATCAGGTGCAGAAAGAAGTTCATCAAGAGGAAAATCCTTCATAAGTTGGTTGTATTTATTAACTAATATAATTGAAGAAACGCGATTTGTAAGTATAACACTCTAATGAGAGACTGGTGGGATTAAATAAATCAATGTACCTTTTTCTTTTGATTCCTTCAAACCAGTATCGGCAATAAATGATACCGTTGTGTGATAACGTTTAGCATGTCGCAAAATGCCTAATGTTAATTCTAAAAATAATAATAAATATTTAATATCACAAATAAAGAAGTTGTCTCTTTTTTTTTAAAAAAAAAATATATATATTCAAACCGATGTGGTCTCCTTTTAACTGTTCGTCAATTCCTTCCAAAGCTTTTTCCATGCTTAGCCAGAAATTAATTTCTTGAATGGCCGTGCCACTTGCCGGATCACGTGACAACTTGGTAACCTTTTTAATTTCTTTAATCCAACCGTTTACATCTCCTTGGAGTTTATTCAAAAATGTTGAATCTGTGAGAAGTGCTTGATTTTCAATCATGTCAACGGTTACACGCTTTCCTTTTTTCCTACACTATTTAATATGTTGAAGAAAAATTGGTTAGAAAAAAAATTCAAAACACGATTCAGAAAAAAAAATACGGGATTATTCAAAATTACGGAAAAGATTACTTACCTCTTCCACAGTTTTTTGAACTACAGGATGTATATTAAGTGATATCTCGGGTATTTCAACATTTTGTTGTAAATGAAGAAGTGATAATTCTAATTCGGTAATTTTCTTTTTGGCCATCGGAATACCTTTTTAAAAAAAATAGTAAAAATATTAATAAATACGATAATATATATTAATAAATTTACAATGATTTCCATTAAAAAATGATTAATTAATATTAGCTTATACATACCCATTTTAGAGTCATCGTGTTTTTTACCTCCAATGCTGACAAGACCTTCGTTGGCACCTTTTTCTCTAGCATATGCATCGAAATAAGGAGCAACAGCAAGGTGAATGTAAGAATGTAACGCTTCATATGGGCTTATACCAGTCGAACCGGAATCGCTTGATGCAGGACCTGGTAAATTTATAAGTTGAATCTGTGTTTGTATTGCGCGAGAACCATCCAACGTAGGTACGTTTTTTATGAAAGCGACGGAAGCAACGTTATTTGAATTGTAAGTGATTTCTTGTGTACATATGTATGAATATGTGAAAGTTGCTTGTTCATCTGTGTTAATGAAATGAATTTAAAGCGTAAAATTTTCATTGATGTGAGTTGTGATGGCATATATTCAAATCTATCATTCAATAATTTGATTCATTCAAGTTGGATCGATTCGATAAAATGAAATATTCTCTATATAAAGGTTCACGATAAATCTTTCCTGCGCACAAATTGTGCAACTTTCAATGTATATCCTTTGTCGCATTGCATAGCGCATGTAAATACAAGTATACTGCGGAATGAATATGTAAACTTACCTTCTTCTTTCTTGTCGTCTCTTCTCTTTGTGAAAAATATAACGTTAACCTGAGGGTCATTTATAAAACGCTTTAATTTATCTGTGGTATCACTCACAGACCACAGTGAATTTGCTAAATCAGAAGATTCAGCCCCCAGGACCAATGGTAATAGTTTATCAAAATAATCTTGTAATTGATTTGGTTCGCAAGGTGTAACAAGCGAAGTAGTAGTTGGACCACCTGCTATAGTTTCGCCTTGAGATGTTTCTGTGTCGACATCCATGATTTTATTATACCATTGTAATTAGAAACACAGCAACACCTAAGGACGCGGTTAACAAAAAAAAATTTCCCCGCTTTTTATACCAGAATTTTCTGAATCATATTAACTATTCAAAAATGTTTGTATGACCTGTATGCATGTATAACTTTACTTTTGAGATTAAAAGCACGATTTTAGATAGTTAATCTTTAATCTTATAAATACAGTACTTACCTTAATTAAGTTTTTAAACCTAAAACTTAGTGACCTCCGCTTATTTAATCTTTACTTTACCTATTACTAATTTAACTATTTAATATATATTTTCTCATTTAACCCTTAATTTATAAATATTTTATACAAAAAGGAAAATCTGCTCTTTAATATTACTTATGGCATATATAAACTCATTTACTACTGATATTAAGATTCTTTTAATGGATTGCTCATTTACCAGTAGGTTGTCATGTCATTGTTTCTAAATATATTAATATTAAATTAAAGTTTTTTATGATGTCTTTTGCTATATATCCTTTTCATTAAAAGTGTAAATTCCTTTAAAGTACTTCTACTGTATAGTTTATTCTGTTTTAGTAAGTAAAACTAAGGTTATTATTATTGTAATTTTGTGCTTATTGTAATACATTTTTTTCTTGTAATTTTTAAAATTTTCATTAAATATGATATTATGATCATAGCTATTTTTTTATACAATTATTTAAAAATTCTGAAGTACTTATTATTTTATTTATAACAGTATTTATATTATAATTATTTATGGTTAAGGGAAAGATCGCTATTCAGTGGGATAAAATCAGTCAAAATTCTATAATTAAATTTATGGGCTTTGTATTAATAAAAAAAACCATTTTTTGAAATGCCGTGTTTTTTATTATAAATTTTTTTTAATAAACCAAAAAAAAGACAGTATAAAATAATTTTTCTGGCTGAAAGAATATTTACAAGATTAATAATATAGTATATATATATAAATACCAGTAGAAACTATTTAATTTTTTCAAAAACACTATTTTTTATATAATTTATAAAGAAAAAGACTGAAACCTATCAAATTAACAAAAAAATAATCTATTAATATCTTAAATATAAAAAATTATTTACATGCCAGAGTTTCAATATACCTAAAACTGAGATCTACTGAAAAAAAAACAAACATATTAGTAACTAAAAATTTTTATTAACAACCTTAAAAAAATCTTGTTACATAGTTACTTTAAAATAATCCAAAATTTAAAATGTATAGGAACAAGATCTACAAGAAAAATAAAAGGAATATTAGTAAATAATAACAATTTTCACTAAAAAAAGTATGTTTACTTATCTTTCCAAAAATTCCAAAACACTCAAATCTAAAAAAATAAAATCTACAAAAAAAAAAAATAAAAGGAATATTATTAAAGCCATACTAAAACTACCAAAACTCCTAAATATAAGTCTAAATAACTAAAATAAATGGAGAAGATAAATATATTTTCACTATTAAGAAATAAGAAAATTACTAATAAATAAATTAAACTAAAATTTATAAATTAAATAAAACTAAATAAAAATAAAATACAGGTTAAAATATTTTACTTAATATACAAACCTATTAAATTTACAACTGGAATGCCGTATTCTTTTAGAGTAAAGTTAAAGAGTTTGAACTTTGATGACGTTAAACTTTATTACTAGGATTGATATTATCTGTTATCATATTTAGCATTTTAATTAATAATCATTTAAAAAGACATTACCTTAATAAAACTGTATACTAGCCATTTTTGGTAATAATTTGTGTAAATTGGCATTATTAAATTTCTTTCATTAAGTGCTAATTTTTCCTTTAAATTGTTTTTAATAACTTTAAAATATATATACAAAACTTAATAAAGATATTTTTCTTCATATTTATTATTTATTTACTATTATATTTGCTAATATATTCAATAGTTTCATTATTAGTATTGTATATTGAATAAGTGAAATTACTACTAAAATTACTATATAAATTTAGACTTCTTAGCTTCAGTAGTTTACCCAATAGTAAAAGATAATTTAAAAGGCTTATCCAAAAAACTATAATTTATTTTATCTAAAGCTTATGCACTTAAAGTGCTTCATTTATTTAAAAGTAAGTCAAATAATATTCCAGTTATAATCTATTATTTTTTTTATTAATACATCTTAATTACAATTTAATATACTTCAATAAGTATCATTAAAGAAGTTTATTATCATTTTATTCATTTAATAAATTTCTTAAGTTTCTATTCTATCAGTATATTGTCAATTTTTAATATAAAGGATAAATCATAAAAATTTTAATTGAATTGTTTTATATAGTTAACAAAAAAATTGAAAATTGCTTGTTTTACTAGTTTATTTGTCTTATTATTCTATACATTTTTACTATAATTTTTAATCTTATATAATACTAATTCTATTCTACATAAGTCAAAAAGTGAAAAATCAGGTATCAATCAGTTATCAATCAGTTACCAATAAGATATCTAATAGGTAGTTGATTGGTAACTGATTAGTAACTAATTGGTATTTTTACCAAATACTGTTACCGATCTGGCAGTTTACTTACTTTTAATCTAGTAATCAGAAAAGAATAAAATATAACTTATTAGAATCATTTCAATATGATGACTCTAATGGTAGTAAAATTGCATTTTAGGATTAATATTTGATGAGAAATTAAGTAAAATATAAAAATAAAAATAAGAAAAATCACGTAATAGAAATCACATTTTGCCACATGATCTTAGTGATTATCTGTATAAAAGTAGTCAACATTCAGTGATCAATCAATTTATATCAAAATATAACATTTTTCTCAATTTCCTATTTTTACCTGTTATTTTATTTTCTGATTTTATAATTTAGTTTATTCTATAGGCGGATGCTTTCAGTTGGAGTAAATAAAGGACAAGATTAGAGTAATTAACCAGGATCTAGTTTAGTCTCGTATTTGTAATACTTGTAACTGATTGTGCTTGTTATTTTCCTGTTCTTGTCTATATTATAAAAATAAAATTACTGTAGTTGATCATTTTGAATTTATTGTACCTCTGTTCTTATTTTTATTATAAAAAAAAAAGTTGACAATTGAATATTTTTTACTTCTATATGGTTTGATGTTTACTGCAACATTGAGATCAACTGTGTATAAATACTTTGTGTTGCCCAATCTTGAAGATGTACATTCTTATTTAAAAATGTTGAAGCTCAGAACTGGCGAATCAAATATTATTTATACTATTGTTTAAAAAAAGATAAGTCCACCCTTAGATGAACATTTAAAAGGTCACTCAATATTCTTTAATATAAAGAACGGTAAAAAAATTCCAGATTGTGTGTGACTGATCTACAAGATAATGATAATATCTTCAAAGACCTTATTATTCTGCAAAAATGTAAAGAATTATATAAAGAATTCTATGATCAGAACTTTGAGATACAGATATCCCAATGTATCTGAATCTGTTTTAAATGATGTAACAAAGTATTCTAATGAAAAAAGTCCAATAGATCTCAGTAATTCCAAATCTTTTATTTCTTCTTTTCCAATCTGTGATGCATTAGAACAAATGTTAAATGAATACAGAAAAGGAAATACAAGCAATTGGTATTTATCATTGATGTACTTTTATAGTTGTAAATATTTTAATTCAAGCATTATTTATTGTTCTTATAGTTACTAATTATTATTTTAATTAAATGCGAAAATAGTATTCAATCCTACAAAGTGCTTTTTATCTGGGTTCCCTCCTGGTTTATTTTATCTTACAGTATTTTGCCAATGCAAGTAATCATGATGTCATTTATATACTGTAGTTATCAAATTGATGGTTTTTTTTTCTTTTCTTTTCTAATAACAATGTACATATTTACAAAACAGAGGGGATGCTTATCTTAATTCAAATGCAAACCAACGCTTAATTCGACGTAATATAAAACCTAAAGATAATATAAAGTTAAAGTTGATAGAATTTTTCAGTCTTCTGATATTGAATTCAAAATGGTTGAATTATCTGGTTGACATTTAACATGTGATTTGCCATAATATTTAAGGATCATTATCCATGGATTTTGGAGTCAAACGTGACCTTCTTTAATGATGCAACTGCAAAATTTGTGTGGTGATTTTAAGATAATGAGACAATTGCATACATGATTTTTTCATGTTTATAGTAAGTGAACTGTGATTTTTAACTTTGTTTTAGTAAATATTCAAATATATTTACCTTACAATAGGACAAGATGTTCAAGTAAAGACCTGTTTATTGAATATTTTTACTTGGTGCATTTCAACTTCAATTAGTTTAGAGAACTTCTGAATGCAATACCAATCTTGCAGAATCTAAGAGTATGTAAAAAAATATTTTTGACTTTATTTTTATAATAAAAACATCTCATTACAACTTATTGTTTTAGAACTCTTGAAGAAATAAAGAAATCAAATCGCTGTTATTCAGTTTCATGTTCTAAAACTTTAAAATTGAAAAGCTATACTGGTGATATCAAGACATGCATACCAAAACAACCTAAGGGTAAAAAAAAAAGCACGTATTATCAGTCCACATCTTGATATTGATAAATAATTTTTACTGATTGATATTAGGAATGTATTTAGATGACAAAATATTATACAATTTTACATCATTCTTTTGTAGCTTTATGAACAACTCATGTATTTCTCTATGTATAAATTGTATAAATTTCATAATCAATAAATTACTTATCAATGTAGAATTTTTTGATGGGCTCCAAGGAATATATGGGATTACATAAATATTTGATACTTAAATTCTTAATGTTTGGTACATGAGAAGGTTATTATTCCAATTATGGTTAAGTAAAATATCAAATACGTCATTACGTAACATGTACGGGATATTATGGTATTTTACTATTCCCACCAAATACGGAAATAATAATAAATGGAGGTCCTATGGGAGTCTATTGTTAAGCACGCTCTATAATATAATCAGTCAAACACCGAAAAATATTGAAAATCAGCCATGCCATTTATGCAACGAGAAATTTTTTTTAAACCCATTTAGATCGCATTATCATTATGTTGTGGACACATATTCCATTATAATTGAAATTTTAGTTATGAAACCAAAAGTGCCCTATTTGTAAAAGAAATGTGAAAAGTATAAAAGTATTGGAACGTAACTTATCTCAAAGAAGTTGTGCTATCATCCATCATCCGTAGCTAGTATATTAAACAAAAGTCTTCATATTTAATTCTTTCGAAACATTGGAAGAAATACCTAAGGATCAAGAACGGTAATACCTGTGAGTGATGATAATGGAGAGTCAAATACAGAAGAAAATGAAAATTAATGGAGTTTTCACATTGATGATGAAATTTTTTTTTAAATAACGATTTAATGACTTTTTTGTTGGAACACGTAATATTCATTCAGTAGACGATCCCTGACCACTAACAATTCGTTAAATGTCATTTTTTTTTAAGAAAAATTATTACTTGATTGGTTGGTCTTACTAAATGTTATGACAAGTCATGTATTTTTTTATTATATTTCACATCACACCATAGTTATATGATTTATGCATTTTTTTTTTAACATTACAGTACTTAATGCTGTAGTATATACTTTATTTATATTTTTTCTAATTTTTCAAATATTTTTTTTTTTATTTTGCAATATTTGCAGGGCGTTGAGCAATTTTAATTAGAGCAACTTGTTTGATTTAACCAGTGGTGTGATTTAGTAAAGTCGTAAATCTATTTGAAATTTTTTATTAATAATTTATTGTTTAAAGAGAAAATATATTATAATGATTTTATTTTATATACATTTCAAGAAATAATCAATCACATCAAACAAGCCAATCTAACCAAATCTTACATTAAACCAGGATGTCATTGTATATGAAGAATATCGTGATTATAAAATAATGGGTACAAAGTACAAATTTAATACACGAGTGATATCATGTCAATCAAGAGATTTATAATCATGGAAAGATTCTTGTAAATTATCATATCAACTCCATTATACATTGAATTGACATATTATTGCATGTATTATATATGAAGTAAACCGTTCTTAAATCTTAATGCATTGAGCATCTAGTTTTTTATTATTTTTGCATTATTAAATGTAAAATAAAGAATTTATAACGAATTATGACGAATTAATCTCATGATTATCTCATGATTAAAGTGAACTAACAATATAATAAGAGAGAGAGACAGAGAGTAAACAACATTTATCGGTTGTTTGAAAATATCCGACATGCATGTGAATAAGATATAAATATTAAGATATTACCAAAATAAATCAAAAATCAAAAAAAATCAACATCCTGCGTGTGTGTATGATTACATTAATTAAGGCTATATTAAATCAGCCAATACGAAAAAGAAAATAAAAAATGTCTATTTTTTCAATGGATCCTTTTTGTAAACAAAATATGAAACTCTAATCCTTATCAAAATAATATATTAACCGATTATACCGACTATACCGAATATAATGAATATAATGAATATAATAAAATATATACACTATATTATATATTCTTCGGAATATAGATTTAACCGTTATGAAATTTGTTGCACAGATTTTCTAGAAAAGATGGTTATTTGCTTTATCATTGAATTGTAACAATCACACTAAAACCATTAAATGTTGTAACTAAACCCGATAAGAAAATATATGAAAGTTTTTTAAAAAAAATAAAAATAAAAATAATCTTCTATTTAAAAAAAAATTACTATAAAAAGAAAAACAAAAAGACCGGACTTACCGGGGTACAAGTCAAATGACGCGCTACAAAAAATTTCTACAATTGTTTATGTTCATTTAGCAATACAATGAAAATATATATCGTTATCATTTGAGTAACGCTGTAAAAAAAAATATATAAATAACAATGTAATCAGGATAATCTACAACATAAATTACTCTTTCTGCATGTACGATACAATATCATGGAATATATATTCTTGATTTAGAGATAGAAGAATTCCAGGAAATAAATAAGGTAACACCACATAATTCCAATAAAAATCTCATTATAAAAATGGCGCTTTAAAAAAATATCTTTTTTTTGATTTAATAAACTTATTACAAGTTTGTTTTATATATATATATATATTTTTTTTTTTTTAAAAAAAAAAAAAAAANAAAAAAAAAAAAATAAAAATAAAAATAAAAATAAAAAAAAATCCACAAAAGAAATAATGCCTTATAATGAACGAGAACAACGTCAATTACAAGAATTCCTTTTACCAAATCATGATATGCCAAAAACGACAAATATAGGATGGTTAAAAAATTATTTTCGAGGACATTTTATACCTTCAATAAAGAAGAATATTTTGATTATAATATTATTTATTATTTGTCTCATTGTATTATTAAATTCACAACATATTTTAAATGATGATAACAAAAATACGAACAATTCAAATGAATCTTATGATCCTTCTTTAATAATAGAAGAAGATGAAGATTATAAATATTTTCCTTCATATTCAAAAAATGAAAGATTTATGACGTACCTTCCTCATGGGGATATTTTTCAACAAAAAGATGAATTAGAAAATGCAGTTATTTTGGCTTATTCTTTAAATAGAACTTTAATAATTCCACCAATTATATTAGGATTAAATATTGAATTTATTAATTCTAAATCATTAAGAAAAAAATTATCATCACTTGGTACAAATCATAATCAATCAGAATGTTTTATTAAAACCATAATTCCTGAACATAAAGAAACAAAATATGAAATTGATATTAATTGTTTAAATGATTTTGTTTCTTATTCTTTATTACGTTGGGATTCTTTATTTAATTTGAATTTAATTAAAAAAAATATTCATTTATTATATAGAAAAAATTTTGATCAAATTAAACTTGAAGAAATGTTAAATATTACAAATCCTATTAATGATATTTATGATATAACAAAATCTTCTACTTTGAAAGATTTGAATTTTATTCGTTCAAGAAATGAAAAACTTTTATCTTTTGATTATTTATCAGGTTTAGATTTCATTGAAAATGATCATTTGATTTTTTTGAATCAATTAAATTCATCTATTGAATTAAATAATCCTGTAATATTGGATATTTCAAATAATATTATTAATGAAAAATTGGGTGGGAAGAAAAATTATATTGGTGTACATGCAAGATTACTTTCTACTTTACATTCAAGAAAACTTATAAAAGAAACTTTTTCAAATTTAACTTTAACATTAAAAGATTATTTTTCTTCAAATAATAATAATGATGATGATTTATGTATTTATTTAGTTACAGATTTAAGTAGAAATGATAAAATCTTGGCATCTTTTTTATCAAAATTCCCTTGCGTTAAAATATTAAGTGATTTTAATGAAATTTTACTTCCTTTACTTGAATTATATAATCCAATTGATGGAACTTTTTTATTTAAATTTTTTGAACCTTTGGTTAATTCTATTATAGTTTCAAATAGTGTGAAATTATTTACTATAGATGATAGTATTTATTCAAATTATGCAAAGAAATTATATGATGAAATGGTGTAACACAACTGAAGTTGTATATATTTTTTTATAAATAATAAATTCTTTTATTGGAAATATATATATATCACAATATTTATTATTATTTCAAGAATGTTACAATATTTATTATATCAAGAAACGAGTTACATAAGTATTTCGTTAAACCTAAATTAAACCTAAACTAACAATATTTATTTACTTTATACAATATTTACTACTACTTTACATCTTTTTACCAACAAGTTAAAGGTTTAATCCTATCTTTCCCAATTAAACTATCGGATGTACTAATAACAAGATCTGTATCAAGAATACCTACACCGGAGATTAAAGTATCATTAAAAACAAATAAGAAAAGATCCGTAGAACCATTCGGATTAATTTTAAGAATTCTATCTAAATCATCATCTTTAGGTTTTAAATCAACCAATTCTTGATCCCCCTTGTACACTTTAAATGAATAATTATCTTCTTCTCCTTCAACGAATCCTTTCGAGAATTGACCATAAACTAAAGTATTATTTTTACTCGTTTCCCAAAATACGACTACCCCTTTTGTAATATCTGGTGGACTTGGGAAATATGCAAATGCCCTTTTTGGTCCAGGAAATTTGGGATGTTTGGGATGTTTGGGATGTTTAGGATATTTGGGATGATGATGATGTCCACCACTAGAAATCGTGTATTCGTTAATATTCTCTCCAGCTGAAATGATGAGAGGTAACATCATATTATCATCAAATTCCATGAAGGGTTCTTCATCTTGATCCAATCTTGATTCAATAACAGATAAAGAAGAGATCAAAAGTACGATCAAAATTAATAATGAAATTATTTTCTTCATAATTGTTAAAAGGGAAAATTTGAAAGGTGATGGAAAGTTGGAGAAAAAAAAGTGGCCTGAGAAATAAAAAGCGATATTTAAATCAAAATGAATTTTTTTAAAGTTACACGCGGAACGCAGATCATCTTTTTAGACGCCCAAAAATTTTTTTAAATTTTTAATTTTTAACAAATTGGCGTTTTAACATGATTTCGGTTAAACAATTCCCATGTCCATAATTTTAATTATTACTTATTGATAATAAGACTTGTTTAAAAACTCGTTGGAAACATTTTCCCGATTGTTCAAAAAAGTTGATTAATAACGTCTAATATACGTTTAGTATACGTAATTGTGATTTACGCGTAATGATTTTATATTACAAAAACCAAATATTTTGACTAATCTTTGATTGTTTGGTCCATCCCAATTTTAGATGTACTATCCCAATTTGGGTGATCAAAAAGGGCACAGTATGCATATTGTTTGTACCTATGATCAAAAAATGGAACGTAAAAAAGAACATCGGTCATTTGATTTTCCGTTTTTTTTAAAAAAAGTATTCTATGGAGTCTAGGATAATTTTGAAAGACAAAAAAAAAAAAAAAAGCCAAAAAAAAAATTATTTTATATTATTTTATATGTAATTGTCAATAAAATATACTAATTTTTAAAAAAGAAATGTTATTAAGAAATTTATTATTTGTACGAAACGTAATTTGAGGACTTATAAATAAATAAATAAATAACAAATAACAATTATCATAAAAAATTCTATTTTTCATTTTTCAATAACACAAATTATATATCAGTTTATCATTGAAATCGGATGATACAACTGATACAACCCAATAAAAATATCAGGTTTATCAAATGATAAACCCAATAAAATTATTAGGTTTATCATTGATACAACCCAATAAAATTATCAGGTTTATCATTGAAATCTTAAAAATTATCAACTTGCATATCGCTTGCACATACTTGGATTCGGTGGGAATCTAGATGTCTAGACTCATCACATGCTTGAATAATTTCGATGACGTAAAAATAGATTGTTCCTTATATCTTATAATTGTTTAAGATGATCTTCGTCAAACCCGTGATAAATATAAATAAATAAATATTGCGACATAAAAAAAAAAAAATTCTATTTTTTTTTTTTTTCATTTAAAAAATCTAAATTTTTTTTTTTTTAAAAAAAAAAATGGATGCAAATTACCTTCCTGAATTATGTATGAAAGAAATTTTAACAAATTTAAAAAATCATCCATCTGGATTATTAAAATGTTCATTATTAAATCGTCATTGGAATCATTATTTTTTACCTGAATTATGGAAAAATCCTTTTAAAGAAAATTTAGAAAGTAAAATTAATACAAAAAAATTAATTGAAACATTTGTTAATTGTCTTACAATTAATGAAAAAAGATCCATAATTAATAATAATGATATAAATTATAAAAATCCTTATTTAATGTATACAAAATATTTACAAGTTATTGATTTAAATAAACTTGTAAATTATATTACTTTTACTTATCCTGTAAATAATCATTTACAAATTTATAAATTATTATGTTTTAATTTTTTAGCAAATTCAAAAAACATAACAACAATCATTTTATCAAAACATTCCGTATTTAATAATAATACGGATTTATTCTTATATTCAAATTCAAGAAATTTATCAACACTTAAAGAAATAGAATTTAATGGTTTATCATTATCAAATTTAATTTATAATTGTCGTAAAATATGTAATGAACTTGAAACAATTACATTTTATGATATATCAGAAAGATATACTGATTCTGATAAATATTATAATTTAAAAAATTTAATTAAATCACAAAAAAATTTAAAAAATTTAAATATTTTTGGTTTTTCAATTTCACAAAATAGATATTTATATGAAGCTATTAAATTTCAATCTCATTATTTAAAAAATATTAAATTTGATTCAATTGATTTTAATAGACATTGTAATTTAAGTTATTTGATAAAATGTAAAAATTTGGAGGAATTACAATTTTTAAATTGTAATTTTTATGGTAATACTTTAAATAATAAGATTATTAATCAAGATGAGAGGAATGATTATTATTCTGATGAAGATGAAGATATTGTTGATATTGATATTAATTTTCAATTTAATAATAATATTATATCAAAATTAAATTTTCTTAAATTTGAAAATTGTAATCAATTCGGTTTTTATGATAATCAATCTTTAATTATTTTGATTTTTGGAAAAAGTTTAAAACGTCTTCATATTGTAAGAGAAAATGATTCAAATCATTTAAGATCCGTTAATTTATTATCAAATGATTTAAGATCAATTAATTTATTATCAACAATTACAAAAAGATGTGAAAATTTGGAAGAATTACAAATTTCAAGATGTTTTAATAATAACAACAACAGAAATATTTTTATTATTAACAACAACAACAACAACAACAACAATAATAATAACAACAATAATAATGATGACAACAACAATGACAACAATAATAATATCATTATAAATAATAATGAAGATGAAAATGAAAATATTATTAATGAATCAAAATTAAAATATCTTAAATTTGAAGATTGTAATCAAATTCATTTATTAAAAAATTGTTATTTAATATTTTCAATTTGTGGTCAAAATTTAAATTATCTTTATATTAGAGGAAAAGAAATTTTAGAAATTACTAAAAATGTTAATTTATTATTAATATTATCAACAAATTGTAATAATTTAAAATTACTTAAACTTTCTATTACAGAAAAATATTTTAATTATATTCCTTCATTATTTACTTCTTGTCAAAAATTACAATTCATTTCTTTTAATAATTATGATCAAAGGAATTTAATTAATATTGATTTATCAAAAATTGGTTTAACTTTACCTCTTTCATTAAAAAAATTTACCATGAAAATGAATTTATATTTTACCCCTGAAAATTTTAAAGAATTTTTAATTAATATAAAAGATAAGTTAAATTTAGAAGTTTTGAATTTTAAAAGATGTGAATTATTTGATAATGATCATTTAAATATGTTAATTAATTATAATAATGGTAATTTAAAAAGATTAAAAATTAATGCTTCTATTAAAGTTGATTATGATGTTTTATCAAAAGCGAACCAATTTTTAAAAATAGAAAATCCTAAATTAGAAAATATTAGTTTGGATATTAATCAAATTAGGGAAATGATGCCAATAGAAGATTAGTTAGTTATTATCTTTTTATGTAATTTAAAAAAATTTGTAAGATTTTATTATTAAATTTATTAAATTATACATATCAAACTTTCATTCTTTTTTTTGTAATTGAAATACTTCATAATCTTCTATTAAAAATTCATCTTTTGTATCTCTTATCTTTTTTTCGTAACATGCTTGTTCACAAGAAATTTCGGTATAATCACTAGTTCCATTATCATACCCAAATAAAAAAAGATCGGAATCACCAAATGATGGCCCAAAAGCTCGACTATAATTTAACGCACCTTCTATTGATTCTACATTACTTAGAATTCCATCTTTAATAAGACCATTCTTATATTTAAAAGAAAATATAAAACTATCTTTAGTTTCACCAAAGCTTTTACTAGTTTCCCATATAATAGGGTTATATCCACCAAGGATTTCATCTGTTCCTTTTACTTTAATGAATGTAACGGTTTTAGGCTTATCATCACATAAAGAATGGAACTTATTAGGATTGAATCCATCTCGACTTCCTCTTAATAATAATTTAAATTCATATGGTAAATATAATTCTCTTTGATTAGCAAAATTACTACTAGCATCTATTTTATCAATCCACTTTGAAACTAGAGAAATGATATTTAGATTAACAATTTTTGAATCAAACTTACCGTTTCTAGGAGGTAAGAAATTATTACTCGGTTCACTTTCAAAATCTAAATAATATCCTAATAAGTCTTCATATAATTGATGTTTTAATAATTTTTTATATGGACGAACTTTTCCCAAAAAATCCTTAGAAGATAAACTATAAAATCTTATTAAAGGTAAACAATATTGTAAAGAATTTTCCATTGTTTTGAAATCATCATCTGTCCAAGTAACAGGATCTGGAGTGACCGTAGGATTTTGTGCGAGTCCCCATTTTAATACATGTTCCCAAACTTCGATTTCTTTCATTCGTAAATCATCTCTTTTAAGAAGTGAAACTAGGGATTTTTCTGGAAGTGAGGTAAAATCAAGTGATTCAAAAATTTTGTCAGGTGATTTAGCCATAAATTCTGTACAAAATTTTTGTAGTTCTAATAAATTATTGGATTGAAAGCTTGTTCGATGAATAAGTTCAAAATGTTTTTCCAACCAATCCGCTTTATTTTCAATTAAATATGTTTGTAAATAATCAACTAACTCATGAAGAATTAATTCATCCGCTGCAACCAGCACTTTAAGAATATCTGAAGTGTTCTCCTCATCTAATGAAAGAATTCCACCATAAATATATCTAAACATAAAATTTTAATGCTAAGCAAAATGTAAAAGGTATGCGTTGTGTAATACATTAAATAGTGTTTATAGCTTACTTTAATACAATTTGAAAGATTTCTGGTAAAATATTTGGTAATTTCGTATGAGACAAGACACCGTCATTATTATTCTTTTTATTATTAGAAACCAAAGCTCGTCGTAAATATGGAGAACGGTGACATAAAATATTCATATGCGCTCGGAATATTTTTACATTTGGATCTTCTCCAACTTCAATTGTAACATCATAATATTCACTATCTTCTAATATTTCAATATAATTTCTACTTAAATTTGAAAAAAATTGGGTAGACATTTTTTTTTTGCGATAAAAAAATTGTTCGCAGTAAACATATATATATATAATAAATGATTGTATAACGTAACGCAAATAATTTTTACTGGGATGCAGCTCTAAAAAGATGAATATCATTTTATTTTACCTCGATGCGAAAAATCTTATAATCGGGATTTAGGAATAAGGTTTATTTACTTTATTGCCAATAATTATGTACTTTATATTATTAATTACATAAACTATCAAGCTCATTTTTATTTCAATTAAAGTTCGATCTTAATTATATTTATTAGTCCGGAGCGTAGCGAAGGACTATATATGTTCTAGCCACGGTGGTACAATGTATCCCGTTGTCCGCCTGCTTGATCTGTGAGTTGACGTTTAATTGGTTCTTATTGGTTCTTATATTACACGATCGGTTAATTGAGCATGTGTTGATCTACTTATTTTAACCTGTACACTTTTAACCTGTATACTTTCGAACAAAAAATAGAATTTAGAAAAAAAAAATTTTATCAGTTGTACCAGTTTTTCGTTCCACTTTTTATTAATTTTATTTTTTTGTAAATAGATTATTTTATTATATTTATTGTTTTAAAAAATAAACGTATTTGTATAATTCTAACAATACAAAATAAAGCACACTGAAATAAAAAATTATTTTTTGTTTTGTTTTTTTTCGTGTTATTGTGTTAGAAATTCTTTTGATTTTTTTCGTGTTATTGTATAAATTATTGTATAAATAAACGCAACCTTTCCTCTTCCTTTTTCCTTTCTTGAAGTCTTATACCTTCTTTTATACGCTGAAGCCTATCAAAACTGAACTGTTTAAGACATAAATCTTTTAGAGTCCGAACTCGTGACAACGCTACGAACGTTAACCCTGCCGCAAACTCCTTGACACCAATATCGATATTAACTTTATCCAATGTCAGACCTTGACTTTTATGCGCGGTTATTGACCATGCGAGACATATTGGTAACTGAGTTCTGGAACACGTCAGCCCATTTTTGTCATCCCAGCTGCGTTTGATAGGTACTATCGGAACAACTTCTTTACCCTCCAGACTAGTTATAGTTGGTCCGTCGTATCTCTCGAATTTTATGAACACTGCAGTAGGGAGTGCTGGTGGACCCTGATCTTTGAACAATATATCTTCTACAACTCCCATCGATCTGTTTACCAGCCCTGCTTCGGTCCATATATTTGAAGTTAGCATCACACGGCAGCCTTTCGCCAGTAATATTTCCGCTTCAAGTCCCTTTGCTACGTCTGATTTGGCGCGTTTAGCTGTTCTTCCACCGCTATGTACTGCGCAGATTTTTGCTATTGGCCGATTCAATCTCCTGAGCATTTCGATGTTGACTTTATATACTTCGGGCCATGTTGTATGTATAAACACGGCATCCTGAAATCTGTCGCGTTCAGCTCTATTTAGATTCTCTTCGAACCTGCTTGTGAGAATATTCCAATCGTTTAACGTGCTTTCCCCATCTCGTAATCTTAAAAGGATATCTCTGAATCCCTGTTGATCATTACCCGATTGCCGTAGAATAATATCCAGTTCGTACACTTCTTTGAATTGTCTGTAGACTGCTATTACGTTGCTTGACGATCTGGCGTTAGTTGCATACATAGGTACGTCGAGTACTGGAGCAAGTTGACCAAAGTCACCAAACAAGATTACCAATCATCCGCCGAAAGGTTCATTTTTGTTTTCCGAAAATGCTTCTCTTAGCCTCATGTCGATAAATCCTAGCATCCTTCGTCCTACCATGCTTTTTTCATCAATTATGAAGTACCTTACATCTTGTACTCTTTCTTGTAATTTTTTTAGACAGATGCCGCTTAACTCGTCCTTATTGTTCTTTATCGGTATAGAAAGTGTTGAATGAATGGTCGCTCCGTTGATATTAAACGAGGCTACGCCTGTTGGTACGATCATGAGCACTGGTGAACTGGCGTCTTTTCCTGTCAATGTGAAAAGTCGTTCTCGTATTGCCTTTATGAGATATGATTTCCCGGTTCCCGCGGTTCCCATAATCATTATCCTTAACAGCTCAACATGTTGCCCTGAAATGGTATCGTTGTAATGTTTTTCAATTCTCTCGAAAACTTTTTTTTGCTTTTCATTCAAATTCTGATACTCTATCACATTATTCCTTCCACTAATTATGTTATTGTTGTTGCTTGCGGATTGTCGCACAAATTCGCTTGCATTTGCAATATCTTCCTCTGAATATTGTTGTTGTGCATCGTTGGTCCAATTGTGTTTCTGGTCCATATCTCGTGATCCCAGGTCGGCGTCCCTTTGTATGTACACGTTTGGACCCATCTCTGCTAAATGCATCCAATCATAACGGTATTCTTCATGTTCCTCCTCTTCGATTTCATCATAACTTTCTTCTTCACTAATTTCTGCTTCTTCGTCAAATGCTTGTCCTAGCAAGTCGATTGGATCGGAATTGATTATATCGATGTGTCGTTCGTAAATTGTTGACCATGGTATGTCGCTGTTTCCGTTTAATTGTTTGATGCTTCGGTGTGGAACGTGAAGTATGACTTTGACACAGCAGAATTCCGCCCATTGATCTCCATTACGCAATCCTGATGGACGAGGCAATATTCTAACTATGTTTTCTTTTTTGCATTTTACCCACTTCCCGTTTGTGTATTTGTGGGTTAGATATAGCCTATATAGTGAAAAATCTTCTAATTGATCATCCCGATCCCAATATTTTCTTAAGGGTGACCTTGTTGTTCGTCCGCGCTCCATGATTGTATCTTCGTCATTTTCCCTACTTCCTGTACCTCGAACGCACCTTGGAGCCTCCTCATTAAGATTTAATGATACGTTCTGTCGACTAGAATGATAAAGTGGTATGCCGAGAAGTAGGTGACACGTTTCTTGTGCCGATATGTCTCTTTCTGCAATACTGTTTAGTAAGAGTTTCTGGATTGATGCAAGTGAATTATCGTCCGAATTACTTTTGTTTAGAATTTGATTAAATATTTCTGTGAAAGCTACTGATTTGGGTTCGGATTTGCTCGCGTATTTAGAGATATATTGCAAGGCTGCGTGTATGGTGAGGACGGGTTTGATATCAACATTCGCTCGCCAACCTTGCAATTGCAACCTGTTGTGCGGGTTTAGATATGGGTCGTTCCTTGATGTCACTAATTCAGGTTGTCCATGATTATCCTCGCGTATAAACGAATGATCATTTCTCTCTTTTGGGTATCCGAATCTACAAACCTGTTGTCCGTGTTTGCTACGCAAACAATATGATGGACTACATTTGGTATGTCTTTGTAATTTGTTTATCAATTCAACATAGTCTTGTAAATCATCGTTTATTTCTTCTGCTCTCTTCTGACATGGATGTCTTTCTGGTATCGGAGCATGCATATCTGGAT